TAAATTACTAGAAATATGTCCAAAACTCACTGAACAAATCCCATTGGTCAACAGTTGTGTCGTCGTTAAACCGTTTGTTCAGATCGACTAAGTCGGCCTCCCTCAGTCGCTCCCACGGCGTGAGTGTAGCCACAAATTTATTGAATGCTATGACAAATTTATTGGTAATTGCAAACATTTCATCGCCCAGYTCGTAACGCATGTCCATCCAATTTACTTTTCTGAGTGCGGCGACCACTTCTGGTGGCTCATTTACAGGTTCATCAAACTCGTTATTCAGTTCAGTGACAATATCGGAGGCTTCGCCTAAGTTATCGGATTCTATGTCAAAGCCATCAAGTTCTGTTAGAGTGGCTTTTAGTTCAGTTAGTTTCCCTTTAACATCGTCACTCCTCTTGGTTAATGCTTCGAGTTCAAGGATAAGATTATACAAGACTTCACGTGTTTTACCAACGAAATCTTTCAAATACTCAATATACAGATTATCGGCAAATAGATATAATGCTTCACGCCTTTCACTTAAGCTCAAACGTATCTTCCGTGTTGATTCGGTTTCTGTTGAATGTTCAATGTGCTGTAAAGTATACACTTGCGTCTCGTCTGAATAAGAAACCATAGTGTCCTCCAAAACCTCTCCTTGCACAAATGAACTTGAACCATCTTTTGAAGAGTCAATTGTTAGGACGGTAATCGTGCTGAATTCGCGACTCTGCCAGCTATTGGATATTAAACATTACATTAGGTTTTTGTGTGGTATAATTTTGTAAGACCCAACGTACCTGAAAAGCTGCGCAGGCAGAAAATATCAATAGGATGCCCCAGAAATTCATCATTTTTCCTCTACTTATAATCTTTGCTGACCTTAGGTGCTTCTTTAGGTTCGAATGTGTTTTCAACAACTGAATAGTCAGACAATCAAATCGCAACTTTATATAGCGTCATAAGTACGTACATTCATCCTTATTAATCGTAAATATTTAGTTTTTCTAAGATCTTATATCATTTCCATTTAATTAGCGGTGACAATGATTTTGCTTAGATTTAGCTGTTCTATATTCTCTCACGTTCTGCTAATATCTGTATATATAGATCGACTTTAAATTCGTTTCCTATGAAATCTTGGCTCTAGTAGCTGTGGGCAGTTAAAACCAGGTCGATTTACCGCTTATGAGGGTGTGAGAATGTCCATATGATGAATTGTTGCTGATGTTTCAAACAATATATATGTGGTGCAATTAAGAATTATTTAGCATACTAACATTCGGCTCGAAATTCAGTTCAGGTTAAGATTTCTTCAAAAATAAGTTGTACGAAACAAAATCTTCTTCGTAGCCTAATTCGATCATTTGACCGTGGCGACAGCGATGATAGGGATCCGTCTTTGTTATAATTCGTCTTATTGTAACCCTGTGACGAATAAAATAAATCAGAAAAAAATTCCAGGTAGCGAACTTAGAAACCCAGAAAATTTTGGTCATCTTTTTTCTAGTTGATAGGACAATTTTCGCCATCTTCAAGGCTGATTCGTCTTTAAAGTTCACTGCTTCGAAAGTAAGATCGAGGACTTTGGTAACGTTAACCTCCGGAGTAGACGCTTGTCTGCGCAGTAGAAAAATTAACGTCTATAGCTATAAGCGCTCTATAATTTTACTGCGAGACACTGTCAAAACAATGATAGCATTACCGACGTCAACGAGAATGTACTGCAACTATTATTAAGCAATTATTATAGCACAAATTTACTTCATATTGTTCACAACTCTTTAATCCTTTGTAAATTTGCTTATCAGTTGTTTGTCAGTCAAAACGTGCAGGTATCCGTATTGGTTACACATTGCACCTTTCAGGATAATTAACGGATTTACACTTAAGAATGTCCGAGAAATGCAGAAAAAATCGTATATACTAATGCTTAATATGCATTTTAATTTTATGATGGCCAATAAAAATGTCTTAAAGCTCGACATTAGGATGACTTCGAGATTAATCGAAAGATTTGTTTTTCGATTACAATCAAAATTTTAAAAGCTATTTGTGATAAAAATTAGTCCTCAAATCATAATGTTTTATTTAAAATTTTACCAAAACATATTCGGCATAAGGTTTGTTAGAAAACCGAAAATAATTATATATATACTATATACAGCTGTGCCCAGAAAAATAGCACACAAATTGATGCAAATATTTGAGGCAAAATTTAGTATTAGTACACATTAGTAGCCCAAGGCACATGACCGAGTACTCCCAGGATGCGATGACATACGTGCGGAATTATGGATCAGCAAAGCGATAGTCACCATGTAACAATACGACTTTTTCAACAACAGTTGTGATGTTTGATGGACTCTTTCTTGGAGCAACGTATGTATATATGGTGTAGTTAGATGCTGGATGTACTCTGTTGAGTTGCAAAAAAGAGGTTTACCGCACACCCACATTCTCCTTAGGATGTTAGATGGTGGTTACACCAGATCAAATTGATGAAATCATTTCTGCGGGAATTCCTCATGCAGAGAAAGATCCAGTATTATACGAAGTGATGAAAACCAATATGGTTCATGGACCTTGCGGACACCACAATCCCACTTCGGTTTGTTTGTCTAACAATAAGTGCAGGAAACACTATCCACATACTTTCTTTCGGAAACACAAACTGGAAATTAAGGATGTCCATTTTATAGGCGTCGCTCACCAGACGACAACGGCAGAGCATTCAGCATTCAATTTAAAATAGTGAATATCGAAGTTGACAACACACGGATTATCCGAACTTTGGCCAAAATATCGTGACTGCAATTGATTGAGTGCACGCGCAATTTTAGCTGCCAAAAATACCGATGTGGTTGACTTAAACAGGAAGAACCAAAGTAAAATTCCGGGAGGTTTGCGCTCATACAAATCGCTCAATCATCTTGACAATGAAGACGAAGCCGTGAATTATAAAGTGAATTTTCTAAATTCTTTGGAGAGTCTTGGTACGCCGCAGCATTGTTTGCTTTGGATCTGTCATTATTATGTTTCACAATCTTCATTCGCCGAAACTGTGTAATGGAACCCGACTGATTGTGAGGCAGTTATCGAATGGGGACAGTCATTTCAGTTCAAACGTATTCAGTTTCTAGGGAAAATTGCATTTGCGATGACAATCAACAGGCTACAAGGATAGTCGCTAGAAGAGTGTGGTAATGTGGAATTGCTAAGTTTTAGTACGTTTAGTAAGTTATAGTACGTGGCGTGTTCACGAGTTGCAAACGCATATTCTCTGTACATTTATGCACCAGAACAGAAAACAGAAAATATTGTTTAGTGATCTGTGCTATGTTGATAAAAATGTGGAAAAAAGCGCAAATAAATGATTTTCAACACAATATAAGTAAATCCAACTTTCTTTTCATTACAAAATACATAATTTCACGCAGAACAACGGCTGCGGGGTCAGCTAGTTTCTAATAAAAGTCAAAGCCAGCGCGTTTGTGTAACGGTTTATATAAAGATAAACCATGTCCCGCTATCTTGCTTAGTATATTGCTGCTTCTATCAAAAAACAAAAAATATGAAAGGGCGGATTACTTTAGCTAAATTAGGAAGGGATAAAAATTTTTGGAGAAAACTATTATGTAGCGATGAGGTATGTGTATCATGCGCAACAATTGAAGTGTGCTCTTCCCAATCCATAAAAAGGGAGACTCCACAATCTGCCCCAACTATTGTAGGATCAGCTTATTGTGGGAAGGATTAAAGCCCACCATCAACAAAGTGATTGGACATTATCGGTGTGGTTTTAGGCCTGGAAAATCAAAAACTCACCAGATATGTATATACTATACCATGAGCAAAATTTTGGAAAAGACCCGCGAAAAGAGTATCTGCACACACCACATTTTCGTCGATTTTAAAGTTGCTTTTGACAGCCCGAAAAGGAACTGCCGCTATGTATGAATTTAGTATCCCCACAAAACCAATCTCTATAAGACACTCCAGCTCTGAAAGTTTTTGACGAACGTACCCGCCGGGGGAAGTAGAGGGAGCGAAGCAGAGGAAGAAGAAGACCTCTGCTCCGCAGGAAAGACCAGTTGGACAAGGATCATATTGCGAAAGGAGAAAATAACTGGCGCAATGTTAAAGCTAAACTTCAACGAAGTTTGTAACACCCAGAAAGAAATTACTGAGAAACCGTAAAAGTATAAACATATGGTTGTCAAAAAAGTCTTGCGGTATTTTCGCTAATTGGCGCTGAGAGCGCGTAGTTCTAGTTTTATTCGTCGCATCGGGTCATCTATACCTTTTTGGAAAGCTCATTTCACGCGCTAACACGTGTTTGATTGACTGTCGTTTCTTTTAAGTCGTTCGTGAGCAATAGCATCGCAAACATGGAGCAAAATAAAGAGAAAATAGCCAAATTTTACAGTATTACTACGAAAAACCAAAAATGCATCTGGCGGCTTCAGAAATTTGTGCAGTTTATGGACCCGATACAGTTTCCATTTCCATCGCACAACGATGGTTTCAACATTTTCATTCTGGTGTAGAGTTGGTCGAAAATGCGCCACGCTCCGGAAGGCCTGTCGTCGGAAATTGCGATAAAATCGCTGAATTGGTCGAAAGAGACCGGCATAGTAGCAGCCGTAGCATCGGTCAAGAGCTGGGCATGAGTCATCAAAAAAAAAAATTGTATGAACAATTGAAAATTCAATAAAAATACCGCAAGAAATAACGCAAGACCTAATATATGTAAATGATGAGAGTGTATATGCTCAAAACAGTCCTTCAGTTTCTCAGAGCCTCATAAACCGCTCTCCTACCTAGCCAACTGATGTGTATGCACAAGTGTCGTTAATCGTGCCATCGAGTGATGAGGCTAAGTACTTATCGAACCGTCATCCTATGTAAATATATAAATTCCCTCAATTACTAAGTCAGTAATAGTTCTCTTTACCACAAATAATACAAAGTTCTTATTCGACGAAAATACTCAGTATTGCAATAAACAGCTAAATTAATACTGTGAAATTAGACATATGTAATTATTTTTTTATTTATGGACAACCACAGATAACTTGCTTCCATCTTGGTTGTTGCGGATAATCCATTTGTAGTACTTCATTTCCGTGATCACCAAATGCAACTGATGCGAACTTAAAAAAAAAAAAAAAAGATTTAAAAACGTTAATTACGATTGCACCGATAACCCTTCACAAATAAAACAAAAATTCTTAACAGAACTGGATTTTGATAAGTCAGCAACCTCTCATACAACGGATTGCGATCATTTAATTTTGGTGCTTCCGACAAACGAGCAACTTCTTTTAGGAAGAATACGAATCAAAAACTGATGGACGAAAGAATGGACAGACAGACAGGTGGACATGACAAATCCGACTCAGCTCGTCATATCGATTATTTATACATATTTACATATTACCAGCCTTTCTGTTCAGTTAATGGGTCCATTTAATAGAGCATTCACTGTATTTTTTATTTATGATTTTTTTTACTAACCTATCTTCTAAGTTGGTTCGAACTGGAGACAGTGTGCAAAATTTTACTAAAATTGGTTGAGTAGTTTAGGAGTCCAACGCGGACAAAGAACGTGAAATATAGTTTTTATATATAATATAAAGTCAGGATCTCCGACGTAACCTTTTTGCTGTTACAAATACCGTGCTTTATATTTTGGTTTACCTGCAGCGCTAGAATGACGAAAACCATGAATATTATCGCCCTAAGTTCCATAATGAAAGGTTTTATTTCCACACTTATATTTAATAGCAGGGTGAAGGTAATTTATAGTGGTTTGGCTTTCGTTACTCTTTCGGGTATTTACGGTAGAATTTCTAATTTAATTTTATGGTTATGAAAAAGTATAAATACGTGGAAAATTTAATTATTTACTGGTATTTAATACGGCTATGGTGATTGCCAAGGTATGGGAAAAAATATCGAAAATAATTTCATTTCGATCTGAGCTCTAAAAGTTCAATACACCACTCCAAAGGCATACCATTAACCGCTTTTGGGGATACGTAACC